TCGCCTTATTTTTTTGGAGGGGGCTGCTTCCAAAAAATTCTACGAAAAGAAGGTATTGGCTTCAAGTTTTTTGTATAAATAATGCACCCCACCACCCCCCCCCCCCAAACAAACCAAAAAATCTCCTTTTTGTTCCCTTTTTCTGGGAATCAAAGAGATATATACAAAGCAAAGCAATTAAGACATGATATTGCAATGACGTGCCGGTGCATGGAGGGGCAGGGGCAGAGGCGGCCCTCCCGGGGATGGGGGGGGGGGGGGCAAAGTGCCTCCCACTTTTTCAGATACCCCAAAAGTGCCCCTTTTTACATAGGAAAAGTGCCCCTTTTATTTTGTAAGAAGTGCCCCTTTTACATAGGAAAGGTGCCCCTTTTCATTTGACAAGTGCCCCTATTACTTAGTAAAAGTGCCCCTTCCCCCTTTTCACCTCTGACGAGTGCCCTTTTTTATTTTTGACACATGCCCCTTTTCCTTCGACATGTTCCCATTTTCCTTTGCAATAAGTGTCCATTTTCCATTCTCATAAATCTTGAAATAATCTTGAATAAGTGCCCTTTTTAATCTCTAGTAAGTGCCTCTTTTCAGGTACGAGAAGTGCCCCTTTTCACTTTTAATAAGTGCCCCCTTTACCTCTGATAATTGCCCTATTCAAAACTGAGAGGTGCTCCTTTTACTTTGACAACTTCCCCTTTTTTCCTTTGTAAGAAGTGCCCCTTCTCCTTTTAATAACTATCCCCTTTTTTTAAACTCGGATGAGCACACCTTTCATTTTAACATGTGCCCCTCTTATTTTCTAATAAGTGCCCCTTTTCCTTATGATAAGTGCCCCCGTTAAAAAGAAATAGTTCCTTCCCCTTCTCATAACTGCCCCTTTTAAAAATCTGAACGGTGCCCCCATTTCATTCAACAAATGCACATTTTCCTTTATTATAAGTGCCCCTTTTCATATCTGGTCAATGCCCCTTTTCAACTCTGATAATTCCCCTTTTAATAATGATACGTGCCCCTTTTCCTTTCTAATAAGGGAACTATCCCCTTTTCACCTCTTATAAATGCCCCTATCAAAATCTGATGGGTGCCCCTTTTCCGTCAACAAATGCCTATTTCCCATTTTCGTAAACGCCTCTTTGTCTCATTTTCACCTCTTATAATAATCCTTTGTACTTTGACACGTGCTCCTTTTCTTTTCGTATAAGTGTCTTATCCCTTTCGATAATTGTCCCCTTTTCTTGTAATCATTAAACGTGCCCCTTATTTAAGGAGACTGAGAGCAATTTCCCCCAAAGTTCGCTCGCTGCGCTCGCTCGCATTTAAAGATGATATAATTATGTTACTTATTAAAGGTCTTTTCAGTCTTCCGTTATGAGAATGTGCTTATAACCCCATCACGATTGGCTTTTTTCCTCTTTATAAGATGTAATTTTTCGCACTGCGACCTCATACAATGTAGATCTTTGAAATTTTTCATGCTCGCTTCGCTCGCTCGTAAATGCATATTCAGACATCACACCCAACTGTAAAGTATGATGCTTAAGCGATATCTTGTATGATGTATGAAGAAAAACAAATATTGAAATCATCCCTGATAATGTAATCACAATGTAGGGGTATATACCAATGTCTAAAAAATTGTATATTTTCGCTTTGAGATTTCCCACTGTAGGTGCCCTTTTTTTCTCCAGAAAGTGCCCTTTTTTGTTGGTGCCCTCCCCCCCCCCCCCCCACTTTGGAAGTCGCTCGGCCGCCCCTGGGCAGGGGGATCTTAATTCTTGTAAGCCTTCTCCTGGACCTTTGGTCAACTGGTCATTAATTTAACCGTTCCTCAAATTTCTAAAAGGCAGCTGCCCCCCCCCCCCCCCTCCCATCCATCTCGGCCGGGTATGTAATCAGCAACAGAGGCAAAGATCTATGAGCAAAATCAATTTTTATATTTTTTTGGGGGGGGGGGGGCTGGGGGTTAACAGATTTATATCTGATATATTGTGTACCTGTATAAATATGTATACTATAAATAAATAATAAATAAAAAAAACAAATTTGCATTACAACGTGGCATAAAATTAATACACGATTACACCTGCTTATCATTTGTTATTTTGAGTCAGCTTGACGTCATATTGTTGGAATTTGTATCTTGGAGTCGTAAACAAATAATGTTTATTGCTATTATGTGTGTTTTTCAAACATGTCCTCATTTTTATTTAATTGTTTTAACTTTATTTATTTAGATTTTTTTTTGCCTTGTAAATTGCATATGAAATAATACGTACCAATACCACAACACAAGGAATGGCGTGGCGTGTCATCTGCATGTTACAATTTTTTTTGGGGGGGGGGGCTGGGGGTTAACAGATTTATATCTGATCTTGTGTACCTGTAAATATGTACATACTATAAATAAATAATGAATTAAAAAAATAAAATTGCATTTCCACAATGTGGCATAATACATAATGGAGACAATGTTGATGATGTAAGGGATGGAGATGATGAGAGGGATTGGTGAGGGATGGAGATGATGAGAGGAATGGAGACGATATTGATAATGAAAGGGATGGAGACAATGTGAGGGATGGAGATGATGAGAGGGATGGAGACAATGTGAGGGATGGAGAATTAGAGATGATGAGAGGGATGGAGACAATTTTGATGATGTAAGGGATGAAGACGATATTGATGATTAGAGGGATGGATGAAGCGTGGAAGCATTGACGTTTTATAAATTATTTGAGATAGAAGACAATTCCTTGTACCGATCTCGTCTCTTTATCCTTACCTGAATTCAGTTCTGTCCCCCCTTCTCGTGCGAAGCGCGGAAGCTTTGATGTTTCATTAAATAATTAGAGAAACAACACGATTCCTTTTACCGTTCTCGACTCTAGATCCTTGTCTGAATTCAGTTTCCCCGCTCCCGCGCGAAGCGTGGAAGCGTTGACACTTCATAATTAATTAGAGAAAGAAGACGATTCGTTGTACCGTTTTCGACTCTTAATCCTTATCTGAATTCAGTTCCATCCCCCCTTCCCGCGCAAAGCGCGGAAGCTTTAATGTTTCATTAAATAATTAGGGAAAGAAGACGATTCGTTTTACCGTTCTCCACTCTAGATCCTTGTCTGAATTCAGTTTCCCCGCTCCCGCGCGAAGCGTGGAAGCGTTGACGTTTCATAATTTATTAGAGAAAGAAGACGATTCGTTGTACCGTTCTCGACTCTTAATCCTTATCTGAATTCAGTTCCATCCCCCCTTCCCGCGCAAAGCGCGGAAGCTTTAATGTTTCATTAAATAATTAGGGAAAGAAGACGATTCGTTTTACCGTTCTCGACTCTAGATCCTTGTCTGAATTCAGTTTCCCCGCTCCAGCGCGAAGCGTGGAAGCGTTGACGTTTCATAATTTATTAAAGAAGACGATTCATTGTACCGTTCTCGACTCTTAATCCTTATCTGAATTCAGTTCCATCCCCCCTTCCCGCGCAAAGCGCGGAAGCTTTAATGTTTCATTAAATAATTAGGGAAAGAAGACGATTCGTTTTACCGTTCTCGACTCTAGATCCTTGTCTGAATTCAGTTTCCCCGCTCCCGCGCGAAGCGTGGAAGCATTTACGTTTTATAAATTACTAAAGAAGACAATTCGTTGTACCGATCTCGACTCTTTATCCTTACCTGAATTCAGTTTTGTCCCCCCCTTCTCGTGCGAAGCGCGGAAGCTTTGATGTTTCATTAAATAATTAGAGAAAGAAGACGATTCGTTGTACCGTTCTCGACTCTTAATCCTTTTTCTTCCTACGTCCTCTTCCTTTTTTCTTTTTTTCTCTTTTTTTTTTGGGGGGGGGCGACCGCCCCCACTGCCCCCCCCCCCCTGGCTACGCGCCTGCCCCTCCAAAATAAAAGAAGAAGGCGATTCTTCAGCTCACTTCTCTTACAGTATACTAGGCTAGGCCCTTACGTTAGATCTAGCTATTTATCAAGTCTTTAACTTTTAGGAGTAAAATATGATTATCTGATTATGAAAAAGAAAAATTCCATTCCTTCATTAATCAAATATTCTACTCTGAATGACTAATCTAGTATATGATAATGATGTAGCTACAGTAGATATAGATCTAGGTCTAGTTTACTCACTAAATCAAATTGGATATTCTACTCGGAATGAATAATGATAATACAGTAGATATAGATCTAGTTTGATTAGTTATACTCACATCACTCGATCAAATTGGGCAGTACAATCATGCAATGCAGTGCAGCGGCCCGGTACGGGCGCCGAGTCAGTGAATTCCCCCGCCGACCCGGCCGGCGGCGCTGTACGGCTAGCTGCACACTGAGCTGAGCTGCTGCGGTAGCACTAGGCAGTAGTCTGCTAATTTACGGCCAGGACGAAAGAATGTGAACAAACATCAACCATCTCATCTAAAATGTACTATATTCGACTTCTCAATAATGAAATCTGTGTCAGGAATAAAAAATAGACCTTCATACGAGATAAAAATGATATTTTTGCAGTGATTTACCGACGAAAACACTGCTCGAATTTCAGTGGTCCGAGTAGATACAACGCACATTTAATGTACGTGCGGCAATGCGGATTGCGAGCTGTGAGTAAATTGTCCGAAATGTCATTTTTTTTGTCATTTTACCTAAAGATAAGTTAAAAATTGTCTTCATTGGTATCATTTAACACAATTCCATTAAAGATTTAGGTTGGAAAGGGCATTATTAAGTCACAAAGAGCACAAACATATACACATTGGTATCTCTCGATCGATTAATCAGGTCGGGACATCTCGGCCCAGTTTTTCCAGCTGGGCCGAGTAGTCCCGTGGGCCGAGTTAGCCCGACTCCATCTAGAGGTCAATACGCATTAGCATTGACTGGACTATGCTTTGCTGGAGAGCCCGCAGCCCGGGCGGAGGCGGCGCTCGTGCCTGAGCTACATGAGCTGAGGCTGAGCACAAGAAATGCGAGGCGGTTAGCTTATCAGAAAGTATATTCAATTAACTTACACGATTCCGAAAATTTCTTCTCTTTCTTTACTGTGATAAAATGATTCATCGTCTTCTTCTCGTAATCATCTAGATATTCCTTGAATTCCTCATATGAGTCAAAATTCATTGCTTCTTCCCCCATTATAATATTCTTTCATCCAACTTCGGGCTGTGGATCGGAAACTGTTACAACTCTGTTGTTGTTGTTGTTTTAGTTTAGTTCGACTCGGAGCTAGTATACTTATTTCAGACATTGAAATTATTAAGTTAATTTAAATAAGTGAATACAGCAATTATGCAATCTTGTTCATCATTACTTATTATTACAACATTAATAATTTCAATGAATAAAATTACTTGAGTACAGTTAATCTCCATTTTTTTAAAAGTGCTTTCACTACACCTATATAATTGAATTATGTATGTGAACGTAGACTACACAATCTAGGCAAAGTTTGTTGACCTCCTATGTTGTGCGACTAATAAAACATCCGGCGTCTGCTACCGTTGAAAACGAGTGGATTTACGGTATGGTGTCTTCAAAAAAGAAAACGAATAATTAATAAAAACGAATAATTAAAGTGTAACGTGGGGGATTAGCCGGGGGATTAGACGAGAGCTATTATTTAGATCATAATGATAGAATATCCTTCAAAATTAAATATGTTTAGCGCTGAAATGTCTAAGTTGAGATGATATACTATGTGATTTTGGAACACGCAATTCAACGCAGTTCAGTCACGCAAGCAAACAAATAGAATCATTTCTAGCCGATGTTGTCAAATGAATGAATTGATAATAAAGCTTTGAAAAATACTTTATAAGTAAATTTAATGTCGAAATAGTTTGGCCAGGCTTTACTGTTTCAAAATGAAACGGGAAATCGGTAATTTAAGGGAGCAGCGCTGAATAAAAATATGGACCTTTTACATTAAAAAAAAACAACTTTAGATTAATAGATTTAAAGGCATTGTTAATCATAGGCACTTAAAAGTACTATGTCCCATGATTTGCAGGCCAAAAAATGAAAAGGGAATTTGAAAGATAACAGCTAGGGCCTACTAATTTATAACTTCCCTAAAAAGATATAAAAAAAAGGGGGGGGGGGCTTGAAAATGTCTTGAATTCGGAAAATAACGACTATTATGTCGAATCGACTTAAGTCAATGAGTAATAGTCTGATTTTCAGACAATAATACGATTGGTCGTACGTTTTGTGCAGCGCAAAGATTCAATGAATGATAATTTTGGCCGTTACCGTAGGGTTATTGATGTAGACAAATGCTCATGTACCCTTTACAGCTCATTTAGAAGAAGAAAAGGCCAGTCAGTCACTCAATGCTGACTGTGAGGTCTAGCAAACGGGTTTCCTTCATAATAGGACACTGCTATATCTTTTAGATTTCACAGATAGGACATACATGACATATTCATAATTCCTGCAAAGTTCAAGTATTTGATGTTGGCTGCAAAAGGGCCTTTAAACTAAATCATTTTCGATATGATTTAAAAGCTGAATATTTGCTTTTTACTCTTATATAATGTCACATGCCGAAATTTCTAATTGTCTGCATGGGTCTCATAAATTGTTTTATTTTGAAGTTAGTGCTCAAACTGGCATATGCGCGGTGGTAATGATCAAAATGTGTTTTCAACTTTGAGGGCCTCTAAAAATATGACATTTTGAATGAATAATCACATACGCCTAAAAAACCGAACACCTGTGCTTTCGACTCTCATAATTATGTCGAATTTTTTTGCCTGGGTCTTGCCGACTAGGATTGATTGGGACTCAACATGACCGGCACTGTGATTGGGAGGCTCATCTGCACTGTACATATCAGGCTACATGTACGAGAAGTGCCCCTCCCCACTACACACTTCTGATAATTAAAGTCCTTTCCCTTCTCATAAATGCCCCCATTTTCACGTAGCCCTACCGTATGATAAATGCCTCTGTTCAAATCTGACTCAGAGGACATTTTTTTTTTTTTGTCCCGAAAATTGAATATTTGGGCGATCGATATTTTGTTTCGGGGGGGGGGGGGGTAAGGTTAGCTTGTTTGGGTCACCCATTACCGCAATTTTTTTAATTTTTTTTAATTTAAAACAAAAACAAAGGGGGGGGGTTCTTCCAAAACACATACATACCAAAAGTTAAGAGGGGCGACCCCCTCCCCCCCCCCCCCCCCCCCCTGCGTACGCGCCTGGTCAGTACCATGTCATACGATAGCTTTAAAAGCATTAATCTTCTCTCATCATGAAAAAAAAAAAAAAAAAAAATGATCATCTGGTAGCCGAAGGCGTTGGCCTGTAATTCCCGGTCACTGCTTCCGTTTCGCCTGTTGGTTTTTTTTTTTACTGAGTGTATCTAAGCGTATGCACATGAGCGGATTCATGGAAAATCAAAGCGATGCTTCCACCAATACTTACCAATTTGTCTGCTCTTACATTGTCTTTACCGTTAAACCGAGCCGTGAAAACTTTCCTTTTCCTTTTTCGATTGGTCGTTTTGAAGACACTGCAGCCCCTTTATTTGTAGCTGATTTATTGGTCGCTAGTTTCAAGAAGGGCAGAAAAGGTTCCGCTTGAAAATTGAGAGTTAACAAGTGATTTATCGAAGAAAAAAAAAGAAGCGATCCATCGAAGGGTAAGTCAACATTTTGATGACATATTCTTTAAAAATGTAGATTTCCAGACCCAAATCCCCCCATTTGTCGGTAAGTTCTACACTACACTCACTGCCTGCAGGTTGCCACATTTTAAAATTAATAATAATAAATTTGCCTATCGCTGGGCTGGCTGTGTATTAAAAGCTGTGCTATTGATTCTCAACATTTCAAACACCACTGTACAAAACTCAACAGATTTCACTAAAAATCGGTACTTTAGTGACGATTAATGACTCCTAAATATCAGTAAAATACAATTATTTCAAATTTCTGTCGTTCGAAAGAATATTTTAAAATTCTATTGTGAGAGTCCACTGTCAAACTTGCCGATCAACCGCATCGGCATGATTGTGTGCATCTGCAGATCTGTGTGTTATGAGTGTAATGACTATTCATGTATTCAAATACTGCCTAGATCTAGTATTAACACGAAGTGCAGTGCTAGAGGTCAATACGCATTAGCATTGACTCTCTAGTCTATGCTTTGCTGGAGTGGCCAGACCAGGTGTTTAGTTACATCTAGATTCTAATTCTAAGCCTAGAGTCTAGACGACAACAAAAATTGAAAAAAAATTGTTTGGTGGGAGGTTTTTTCATAAACTGGGAATGTTTTTCCATAAACATGGAAGCGGGATCAGGAGAGAGAGAGGGAGGAAGGGCGTGGTCATGGTGGTGGCGGGGGAAGTCTTCCGATCCCACTACGAACTCAGCTGGTGCGATGGTGGGAGAATGCACACATAGCTGCATTTAATCCTGGTGGTGTATTAAAATAGGTATTAAAAACTTGTTCTATTGATTCTCAACATTTCACAGCCCTGCCATAAAAAGGTCTGCTTGATCTGCAAACTTTGGACTAAAATGTTATTTTAGTGGATTCATATCTGATGCAGAAATTTTTGGTCTAGAATCTAGGCCTAGTCTAGAGCGAAACGGCGAACTGTGCGTTATGATTTGTGCCTGGGGCTGGGGCTGGGGCCGGGCTTGGTGTCGTTGGATGGTTGGTGATTTATATAGACAGCATACATGTATTTGCAGCTTTTACTGCTGGCAAATCCATCACATGTTTAAGTCTGCAGATACATATCCCCCTATTTTCTGAAATAAGATGAACATGATTCCATTACTCATTACAAAATTCAGAGAGCAGTTTATGTGATAACAACTTGTGTCAGAAATGCTTGTATTTGTAAAAATGTAAATGTATTGGTGACATCATAATTATGACATTTTCGATATGTACACCTGTATACTATACTCCGAGTCCAAGATACGGCATTTGATTGAACGATCTTACTAACATTTAAAGCATTTCCTTGAACCTAAAGATTTTTTTTTTCTTTAGCATATATCTTAAAGGGGAAGTCCACCCTGAAATTAAGTTAGTTTTAATAGGAGTAGAAAAATGAGAGAAACAAGTCAGTGAAAGTTTGAGCAAATTCCGATTAAAAATAAGGAAGTTAGGATTTTTGAAGTTGTGATCAATCAAACACAAATTGGCAACTCTATGACGTATCATGCGAGCTCAACTTCCATTTGCTCAGTACAAAAATAATCTAAAATTTTCATTTTCCCTCAAGAAAAATTTCAACCATACATGCACCCTAAATATAATAATTGCAAATATGTTTCTATACTCCCCCTGCAAGGAACAAATATATATTCCGTCATCAATAACGAAGAAAACATGATTTTATGGAATATTATGCAAAAAGCAAATGAAGGAGAGCTCGTATAATAAGTCACAGAGTTGCCAATTTGTATTTGATTGATCACAACTTCAATAATTCATAACTTTCTTATTTTCATTCAGAATTTGCTCAAACTTTCACTCACCTGATTTTCTTATTATTCTGCCTCTATCGAAACAAACTTATTTTGGGGGTGGACTTTCCCTTTAACTCCTAAGTGTTTACTGCACCTCATTTAATTTGTCAATTTGCCACCAGGTACGACTACGAGTGTCTGCCGCATATCAGCCATCATGTGCTTCGGGCCTCTACGCCCCTTGCGGCAGCTCTGCCATTGGGGTCCTTTCATTGCGATATTCCTCATGCTCTACATCACCACCAATGCCGTCATCTGTGCCCTGGTCGTATGGCCACCTTTGAAGGAAGACCCTCTCAGTGTGGCCCACTGCGCTCTGCTGGTGATCTGGTGTTTCATCATCTTCTATCACTACTTTTATGCAATGTTCCTGGGACCGGGCTTTGTTCCCAAAGGCTGGAAACCGGTAGGTATTGGTCTCTTAATCTCTCAAGAGCAAGACAAGGCAAAGAGCAGCAAATATTTGAAGCAAATTGTTTTAAATATTAGAATTGAAACTAAAAATCACACAGCCTTCCTTGCACACTTTCAAGTACACAGAATCATACAACCTAAATATCAGAAAAGAGGTTCTTTGTACATGATCTTTAAATGGAATGAGGGATCAATTTGGGTGATCCTTGTATTAGAGTTTCATTTGACTCTTAATTCCTATAATTATATTCAACCCTGTTATTACAAGAGTTTGTACGAGGAAAAAAAATTCTTTTAGTATTAAATAAAATTTGTCGTTCGTACAATGTAGGTCTGCACTTTAAATGATAACATAGACACATGTACCTCTCCCTCCCATTAGACCAAATTTCAGGTATGTAGAAATCATCATCATTACTTCATAACAAGCTAGGTCACGTCATGTGATACTTTTTGTCCCTGTATACAGGTGTATGTGGTTTTCAGTATAAATGAATACACCATTTTATATTAATTGAGTTATGGCTATGGCTAGAAAGGATACAGGCTTGATGATAATTTATTTTATGTTTATATGCAAATGAAGAGGAAGTACTTGCTTTATTATTGTAGCAATTCAATGATTCCAAATAAGGTTCATATTTGTTGTCTTAGATTTAACAATGGAAATTAATTGTGTACATGGTATTGCGATGCACATACATGTACACTCATACACAAATCAATGAAATAATTTGATGAGTTGACAGAAAACAAAAACAAACAATTAACAATCAAAACAAATATATAGTCGTGCATCAAAAATAATGTACATGTAAGTGAGGTGGAATGACGATAGGATTTTAAATCCAGGTTATCTATGTTTTCTTCTAGGAGAAGCAAGAGAATGAAAAATACCTTCAGTATTGTCAATTCTGTGAAGGATACAAAGCTCCAAGGGCCCATCACTGTAGATACTGCAAAAGGTGAGCCCTCACTCCTACTCATATATATTCTTCTTGGTTTTGTATCGTTATATGAATTTGATTAATGAGTATGCAAACTTCAGCTCTTTGTATGTAGCTCTATTAGTTTAAAGGTAAAGACCAGTTATGGTCATGCGATTGCATTGTGAAAGAAACGTTGTGGAATCGATCAGAAAAGGTTGATTATCTAGCATCTAGCATCTGCAAGGTTCTGGAATCATCAAAATGATAAGAAATTTGGCCCATTCTTCGTAAAGTTACAAGCACTATACACAGAAAGATGTATATGGGACTACCCTATATCTCTCACAGACCATGAGAGAAACAGATTTACCAAATATATGAATTAGTAGGCGGTTTCCCGGCAAATTTTTTATCATCATGTATTAGTCAAAACATATTCTTTCACATGATTGGTAATGAGAGCTTCCATTTCATTTTTTGAAATTGGGGCGTTTCCAATACTGGTCTTTACCTTTAACATGATGTTGTCACTCCAATGACGACAGCTGGGGTAATGATATGATTGCAGGGCTCTCAAGGTCAGGGAGAACAGTAACAATACTGATTAGGTCACCCTGGGTAAACAAGAAATATTATTGTTATCTATATAAGGCTTCCAAGTGGTACAATAATTTAGTGTATTTAATATCTTTAGCGCAGTACCTGGATGACTGATCACTATTGTTTTCGTATTGCTCAGTTATCCGGGAACTTCGACTATCGATATCGATATCACACAAAAACAAAGACCATACAAAATACTACAAAACAAAAATATTTACAGAGGTAAATGTTCCAATCATGACAGTTGAAGTTCCCGGATGAATGAGCAATACAAAAACAATATTGGTCTGTCATCCGGGCACTGCGCTAAAGATTGAATACACTGATTTATTGTACCACTTGGAAAATTGGAAGCATTATATACTAGTATCAGGGCTCAAATTAAATTTTTGTCCAAGGGGGCTCTTCCCCCAAAAATAGCCCCTGTGAACCTTCTCACGGGGGCTCTTTTAGTGCTGACGGGGGCTCTTATTTTAATACAAATTTCCATTGGATAAAACTCCTAAATTCCTTGGTATTTTATCATTATCATTTATTTAAGTCGGCATTCTCCCTCTTAGAATTTACTTGTTACATAGCTGTATACTTTTATCCCCGTGATCAGTGGCGGATCCTGGGAAAAAAGAAGGGGGAAAAAAGAGGAATTTTCTTCTTTCTTTTAAAAAAAAAAAGAAGTGTTCCTTTCCCACTTGTATCACAGAGAAACAACAGTTTAAAGTAATTGAGAAAAAAAAGTTTACCCGTCACTGAGACCAGGTCAATCAATCTTCTAGATCCATTATTAGGGTCTAACGTTAGTAGATATAAGGTAGATGCAGGCGCGGATCCAGCAGGGGTGAGCGGGCCTTGCCCCCCCCCCCCCCTTTCCGCAAAAGAGAGAGAGAGAGAGAAAGAGAGAGAAAGAGAAGAAGGAAAGGGAAAGAGGAGAGAAAGGGAAAGAAAGAAGAGAAAGAAGGAAAGAAAAGGGGGAAGAAGGAGATCGGGGGGGGGGGGCAAAAGGGTGTTGCCTCCCAGGCTTTTGCCTCCCCCCAATAAAACAAAATAAGAGAGAAGGAAGGAAGGAAATGGAAAGAAAAAAGGAAAAGAGGAGATAAAGGGAAGGAAAATTGAGGAAGAAGTAAAGAAAAGAAGGGGGATATCATGCTGTTGCAATTTTCCCTCCAACAAGTTGCGGATTGGGCTGGGGCAAAAGGCCTTTGCCTCCCCCCGCCCCCGCTAAAAAAAACAAGAGAGAGAAGGAAGGAAAAGGAAAAAAGGAGAGCTAAAAGGGACCAAAAAAGAGGAAGAAGAAAAAAAAAGGGTGAAAAGAATTTTGATGCGGTTTTCGAGTAGAATTCTGTGAGATGATGATATACTTTCTCGTAGCTTGATGCGACGAAGTGTCTCTATCCAGATACATGTATCTGTTGATAGTATTATAGAATATAGAAGCCTGATATGACCTTCTGCTCCTAACCGACAAGTCACCGCATTAAAATTAAATTGCAAAACACGATGGTGGATGAAACTTTCTAATATTCAAAGATATATGACCTTCAGACCATATTGTTTCATTATTTTTTATTCAATCAATCAACGTCAAAGAATTGATTTATCATCGCACTTCAATTTATTATTTCACCTTTCAATGTATTATCATTCTTATGCATCACGAAAGAACACTGAATTGGATTCTTCAATGATTGTTTTGATTAATTTCCTCCCCTTTCCTTCTCCCTGTTTTTAAAAATACTGATAAAATTTTCAATTTTTCTTAATCAAGGCAAAATATTATTTTCATATTTTCTTTATGCAAGACAGGGAGAGAGAGAGAGAGAGAGAGAGAGAGAGAGAGAGAATATGTTAAGTGAGAATTATCGAGTACAACTATGAATTGCATCCTTTTCAATATTATAATTCCCTGAAAATCTTTATTTTATAATTCCACGGGGGCGATTTTTAATTTTGCAATTGCCCCCGTGGACAACCTGATGGGGACGATTATGGAGCTCACGGGGGCAAATCGCCCATCGCCCCCGTGTATTTTGAGCGCTGACTAGTATATAATAATTTGATTTATTCCTTACTTTTCCACCTCTGTATCTGTTTGTATGTTTATCTGAATGTACAGTATGTGTGTCCCAAGACCCAACTGTCAATCTGTTTGTTTGATAAATTGATCTGTTTCTCTTTGTCCATCCATTTGTATCTTTCTTTTCTTTTCTTTGCCAATTTGCCCTCTCATTGTGTCTTTCTTGATCTGTCCCTTATCTTATCCCTTTATCAAAAGCTATCTCCTTTACCATCATTTCATTTCTCTCTCTTTCCATCCTTTTATTCTTCTTTCTCTTACTTTTTATCCCTCATCCCTCTCTTTTTCCATCCCCTCATTCCTTTTCTTTTTAATAACCCCTCACCCTCCCTTTTATTTTCATCGCTCCAATCCTCTTTCTTATTTGACTCCCTTTCTTTTTATCCCCTCATCCCTCTTAATCATGTTGTGGTCTAGTGGATAAGTTGTCGAACTGTGGATCACAGGGTCTATGGTTCGAGTCCCGCCGCAGCACTAATGTCCTTTGGCAAGACATTAATCTCCAGCCACTCTCTACCAAAGTGTTAAATGGGTACCGGTAGAAAGGAATTCCTTGAATGCTTTGAGCGCCGAAATCGGCAGCTTAGCAGAGCCGGGTAATATTCAGAGCGCCTTGAGCACCTTGCATGGTGGATATGTTCGCTATATAAATATCTGATATTATTATTATTAATCTCTCATAATCACGCTTTTCTGTTTTTAAACAGATGTGTGATGAAGATGGATCATCACTGTCCATGGATAAACACTTGTTGTGGTCATTTTAACCACGCCCACTTCACCAGCTTCCTCATCTTTGCCGTACTGGGCTGTGGACATGGAGCTATAGTCTGCATGTACACTCTCTATATACAAGTCTTTCAAATAGTACTGGTATGTATGGTTTTGTCTTAAAGGTATAGACCAGTTTTGGAAACGCCTCTCTCTCAAAAAATGAAATGAAAGCTCTTATGACCAAATCAGACCAATCATGTGAAAGAATATGTTTTGACTAATATGTGATGATACAAATTTTGCCGGGAAACTGCCTACTAATTGATATATTTGGTAAATTATTATATCTATCCGGACTGGATAGATATCGGGTAGTCCCATACATCTCTCTGTTTACAGAGCGTGTAACTTCACCAAGACTAGGCCATATTTCTGATCACTTTGATGATTCCGGAACCTTGCAGTACAGACTAATATTTATATGCTAGATGATCAACCTTTTCTGATCGATTACACAACGTTTCTTTAACAATGCAATCGCATGACCAGAACTGGTCTATACCTTTAAAACTGGCCCACATTGTTGTGCTACTACCCTCTTTTATGGGCTAGAAATTGGTAACTATTATACAAGAATTTCAGAGTAAAATTTTATGCAATGACCAACACCTTTTGTGGTCATTTTAACTGTGGCCACTTAATGGCTTTACTAAAGAAACTTGGTAATGATCGTTATAATGTGTTTTTTTTATAGGCTAGATAATGAACTCAAAGAAATCTTGTTTATTATCCAATGGTGACTTGACCTGCGTGAAGTTCATTCATCTTCATGCACTCACAGACATGGAGAAATGACAGTCTGGCATTAGATTTATAATAGATATTGCTTAATCCCGAAAAGAAAATCGGAATTATATATTCTTCAAAATTGATTCCATGTCTAATTGTCTATTCACTCTTAGAGAAGGTACATGTAGATGTCTGTTTCATTTGTAGATTATATTTGAAGTATTACAAATTTACACTTACAGTGTATGTTTTCCATTAGAAAGATGTATGAAACAGTAATTGAATACCGGTAAGCAAAATAATCTTTTTTTTTGTTTCTTAACTCCTCAGTATCCTCGCAGGCGATACATGATGGAATCGCTTCAGAATTCCCCATACCTTACATTCGGTTTTGGTCATCTTATATGTGCTATTCTTGCTGTTGGTTTTGCCCTCGGAGTTTGTGTAGCTGTTGGTGTTTTATTCGTTATTCAGGTAAAGTGAAAATTTTGAGAGAAATGAGATTGACACTAAAGCATGTTTAGAGAGAACAGGGGGTGTTTCACAAAGACTAAGAACGACTTTAAGTTGGACTTAACTATGCCAGGCCGTTCATGCCACTGTTTGCTCTTACCATTTACTGGCATTATTTTCTGAAAGGAAGTATAAATCGTGGTGGCAAATCTACAGAATTTACATCTTTTGATAATTCATTATTGAAGAAAAAAATGTATCTAAAGATCATAATTGAGAGACCAATAGTGAGAGCAACCAGTGGCATGAATGGCCTGTCATAGTTAAGTCCAACTGAAAGTCGATCTTAGTCCTTGTGAAACACCCCTCTTGTCTTACAGTGACATCATGCATCAAATTTATATACCCAGTAGTCCAAACACATAGACAGCAGGGGTCTACTATTAATGATCTTTGTGGCAGATTAGCACTGTGCTGAATAAAGTATCTGATCAGTCTATACTGCTGCTACTATTATGTATGAAATCTCCTTATAGACTATTTCTTGAAAGTGATGGCTACTTTGTTTTATATTCAAGTTAAAAACAAGCAAACATCACTCTAGTAAATGGGCTATTTCATTTTTCAAAATAAAAACAAATTCATAGCTTGGTTGCTAGAAGTGAGCTAAAGTTTTACCTGTGACATAGTCTAAAGAGCCATGAATTTACATTCAAAAGATGCTTTTTAATTTTACTGGAAAAGAACAAAGTATTCTTATTATCATAATTATTATTCCATACGGTTAAGTTTAGTGATCCATTAATGACATGAATTTTATTACATTTGCCTTTTACACTCTTGGTTGAACTTTTTCTTTTTTTTTACAGATGAGATCTATACTTAAAAATGAGACAGGTATTGAGTCGTGGATTAAAACAAAGGTAAGTTTAAATATATATATATATATACAAACTTATGAGTTTATTTCTCTCTGTTTGTTAATAATTGTAATCGTAGGGTATTGAAGTTAAATCTGTAGAGCATTTTTATGTTGGAATTTTGACAGTGGAACATATTCAGGATCTGTATAGCTAGAGGAAAACAGTTCTTTTTAAAAAGTCTCAAAAAATATGTGCTACAGTTTTTTTCAAAGATACCTAAAAGATAAAGGTTTTATGCAAAGACACCTATACTTTTTACTCCCCCAAAATAGTGTGAAAATAACTTGAAATCATGAAATAAACTTGGAAGAGTTATGTATGAGCATGCAAGGATGAATTTATTAGATTTTGGATTATAGTTGAATTTCGAAGATCACATTTCGTAAAAGTGTGAAGGAATGCCAGAAAAGGGCTAGTTAAGATGATATCTTGAAAAGCATTAAAGCACTTCAAATTAAACTTGGATAAGTGTGAATGAGCATGCAAGGATGAACTGATCAGATTTTGGATATACCCATAACAGGTCAAAGGTGAAAGATCACAGGGTACAAAAATCCAAATCCCCAAGGGGGTGACATGCTTTCGAGTAATAGCAATTTCAATTGCTTTTGTCACCTCTAACCAGCAGATTGTATCCTTCACTCTCTCCTCTCCACTTTCCTAAAACTGTCTGCATGTATAACAAAATCTCTATGTATTATCTCATCTGATTGTTATACTCACTGTATGTTTTCTGATTACCGGTAGTCAAATAAATAATAATAACATTTCAACAAAAATTAAACCTATGTTGACCAAATTGGACTTGAGTACAATACAACTATCTATGATCATGAAAAGATTAAATGACAAGTGTTGGGGTTAGTGAGGTCAGAGGTTAAAAGTTACAGGATCATTGATCAATGGACATATTAGAGACGCAGCTGCATTCAACATGTTTAAAAAGTTTTGCTAATTATTAGGGAAAAATAAAGATTTTGTTTGTAAACTTCCACATCTTCAGTATAAACTTCATAATCTTACTTACAGCCCGTCTGCACTAGTTTGGCCAGGAGGGATTAGACCACCCAACGTGGTCACTGACAGGTGGTTATCTCATCAAATCAGCTCTCAATTAACATTAAAAAAAGGGGGATCATGGGGGACTAGCGGTCACCGATTAGGCATTGTTTGCAATATAGAGGGCGCAAGAAACTATGAGTAGTGCAGTGGGGCTTCAATAGAATCTCACTGAATGTGTATGTCACTGTCCTTCCATCCTTCAGGCAAACGCAAGACACAAACGTTCTGGAGGAACCTTTAGGTATCCCTACCTCCTTGGCTGGAAGAAAAACCTGAGGGAAGTCTTCACGATGTCTGGTATCCCAAAGGGAGATGGGATTACGTGGTCTATCATAGACGGCTGTGATCAGTACACATTAACGGTGAGTGAGGGGTTTTTATAAAGAATGAATGAATATCTTTGTCTTCAAATTAGCATCACTGTGAGGGAAGTCTTTACGGTGTCTGGTATTCCAAAGGGAAATTGGATTACCTGGTCTATCATAGACAGCTGTGACCAGTACACATTAACAGTGAGTGAGGGGTTTTATGAAGATTAAATGAATATCTTTGTTCTCAAATTGGCATCACTGTTATTTATCATTTGTGCTGCTCTGTTCCCATAAAAGTAATGTAATAGATAAATAGAACACTACAAAATCATATCGAGAAGTACCCCCAGACTTTGTCAGTGCTAAACAAAAGGGACACTTCAGTCACCATAGTTACTTAAGTTACCTAACTTTATTAAGTCAAAGACATTTTATTGCATCACGGTGTCGAAAAGGGCAGATGTGATGAAAAGAACGACTGAACATAGTTCAGCCTCAAGATATAACAACATGGCACAGGTTGTTTTATGTAGAAAACATTAAATTTGCCATTGATTGCCAATTCTGAGAATTTAATGCATTTTCTAATAATTTTTCAATGAAGAAATGCAACATATTAATAGCAAATTCATGAAAAATTTGTGAAATAAGAGTGAACAATTTCATGGAGTGGGATGTTTTTGAGGGGATGGTATCATTTTGTTTTCATGTTGTATTGCCTCCTTTGTTTGTTTGTTGTTGTAATATCTTTTTGCTCTCTTTATTTTCATATTTTGGGTGCCATTCAGGAATAAAGGTTAATTTTTTCAGTGATGGCTGAGTTGTAAATAGAAATTATGATATTCAGACAACTGCACAGTGAGAAAATGTTAAGATGGGATAAATGATTTGAGTGTGCATAACAATGCATGGGCATCAGATGTGGAAAAGATTTAGAATTTCCCCTGTAAGCAGATGGATATCTTGGATTTTGTCAGGTTGTTTTGTCCAGTTTTCTCAAGATGCGTTTTCAACAGGCTAATTGATGGCTTTTGTCTCTTTGCAGAAAGAACAACTGGCACAAAAGGCAGAGAAGAAACATCGTTTGGTGAGTACAGTTAGATTCATTCCCGAGGATATTGCCTGTTTGAAGAGTTGCTGATACAAATGCTCTATCCCCTCAGTATATTTTAGTCCTGATTTCCTTAAAGGCATCATTTAACAATGTTAAATCTGAGATGTATGGCCCTACGTGTTATCAGTGTCTGTGATATGGTGTGATATTGAAGCCTTGAAAAATTGCGCTTCAAAATGCTCATGAATTACCTCATAAATGTAAAAATCTTTGAGTGACCGGTTTTACCGTACTCATTTTCCCCAATAGACTGTAGTATTATGAAAACCGTTAAGAAAATGCAAAATTTGATTTCGATTTCCAATCATAAATATCTTGATAATCAGACAGGCGAAATGAAATGATCTTTGTTAGTTTGTCAAAAGACAAGCAGCCGTATTTTGAAATTTTTATAATCGCTGAATTTAGTTGTTGGGTAATCTATAGAGTAATGAATTGCTATTATAAAGGTGAGAAGTATCAAAAGCATACGCATCCCAACTGTTGGGTAGATTGAGGGGACAGATATTTTCTAATCACAGAAATGTTGCATAGTTAATCACACCCATAGGCTTAATACAGGTAGGCAATTTGTAAAAATGTTTCATCATACTTCTTCATGTTTTAGGTCCAATCTCTAATATACACTGTACTCTCCCTAGAATCCCTAGAAACATTTAAACAGAATGTAAAAGTCATATGCATGTACCGGTAATGTTCATATGTTATTTTAGTAAATTATATATTAAATGTACATCTATGCATATTTGTTCTCATTTTCCTATGTAACTCATTCTAATTCTATCCCTCTGCGCCTCAGAATAGTTAACTAGATCGATGGCATATACAAATGCTGTATTATATTATTAATTCTGTTTGTATGAACAGGTGGAATATGAGATCACAGATGACTACAGTGGTTACATTTGTACCTTCTCTCACGGTCTCTGTACCCTCATCAGAGTGCCTCTCTCGGATGAACCAAGGATACCGGTAGAATATGGTGATATCGTCATGGTTTCCAGATGGAAAAAGTGAGTTTTTCTTTCGTATCAATTGATTTCTTTCTCTTTGGAGGTTTGAAAGCCTGTCTGCACTAGTTTGGCCAAGAGGGATTAGACCCCCCTGCAAGGTAACTGACAGGTGGTTATCTTATCAAATCAGCTCTCAATTAACAAAAGAAAAAGGGGACATGAGGGACCAACGGTCACCACTAAGGCATTGTTTACTATATAGAGGGCGCAAGTAGCTATAAGTAATGCAGTGGGGCTTTAAACTTTATCTTTGTTTCATTTATGAAGCATTATGGCTTGGGTCAGTGTGTGGTTCTTAACTATTTTGGCCTTGTGACGTTGGTGTGCACCTCTATAGGTAGCCTCTCTCATTTTGAGCTCTGTAATTTGTTTCATTTTTCACCAATTTTGGTTGGATTTAGTATTTGTATTTTCAACATTGTGTTTGATATTGGTCAAGGAACAGAGGTAATCAATTTGTAAGGTGTATTTTGGTGTGAATTTGCAGTATTTCTGTTAAGTTTAATGTTAGATGTTCTTGTTCAATTTTACTGTACAGGCATGTGCATTAAGCTTTACTGGTACTTTGCTTGTATACCATTTGAATGTACTGACATTCACAATAGTCTCTTTTGTATGCTCCTTTTGTGTAAGCTATTCCTGCTTGTACAATGGATGGAAAGCCATTGAAAGTGTTGTTTTCTATAGGGCTTGTTATTTCTATTCTGTACACTTTGAATCAGCCCTATATAACCAAGGAATGTTTTACTTGTACTGGCTCACACATGAAGAGCCTCCACTGTAAACATCTCAAATATTGTAGTCAACCTATACTATACTACTGTAATTCGACAGCTACATTTCGATGTCTCCTTAATTCTGGAGATATCCAGCCCAATCCTGGTCCAGTGAATCGCACTGAGAATGTTTCCAATATTGGCCATACCAACTCACCTCCTTATTCAGCTGATTGTACAGCTTTACATATTTCATACAACTTGAATGATCTCCATCAGATTAATAACCAGCCGCTTAATTTACTACCCATGAATGTTTGGAGCAGGATCTGCGATCTTGGCATCGGTCGCCGACGTCGAACTCATCGCGGACGTGGGCGGCGTACGATACCAAGGCCGGATTTCCCTCCACCAATGTCGGTATCATCCAATAGCCTCAAACTTGGCCTTTGGAATGCACGTTCCATGACCAATAAAACACACGCAATTACTGATTTGATTGTTGAACATGATCTAGATGTTCTAGTCATCACCGAGTCGTGGCTCTCTGGAGACAGTAAGAGGGATGGTCTCATATTAGCTGATCTAAGATCTGGTTTGCCTAATTATGATTTCACCCATCGACCCCGGTTATCTTCCAAGGGCGGTGGGATTTTGCTTCTCTATAGATCCACGGCTCGCTGTACCTTGAACAACAACAATGATTTTGCATCTTTTGAATTACTGGATGTCACACTCAATCTGACACCTTCATCTGCTGTAAGGTTGTACTGTATTTATCGACCACCCCCGTCTGCCAATAATAATCTCTCCAACGGCACATTCTTGGATGAATTTCCAACTCTCCTTGAAGGTGCTGTTGTAGATGATCATTTTCCTCTATTATTGGGTGATTTCAACATACATGTTGATGATCCCAATGATAATTTTGCAAAATCTGTTATGACATGTGTTGATTCTTTAGGGTTCAAGCAACATGTTCGTGAACCAACCCATCGCGCAGGTCACACTCTAGATTTGATTTTCACAAGGAATTCGGATGATGTCTGCAACGTGAACTCGCTATCTTCCATGCCTTCCGACCATTGTGCACTTGTCACCACTGTCAATATCGCAAGGCCGAAGAATCCCAAGAAAGAGGTTTCCTTCAGGAAATATCGCAGCATTGACAAGGACTCTCTACGCAACTCTATTGACACAATGTTCCATTCACTTCCTGATCTATCTTGTCCATCTGCTTCCGCGGAGCATTACAACTCATCTTTGCGGACGTTGATTGATGAGCACGCTCCAATCCAGGTCAAGACTGTATCAATCAGACCTGATGCGCCATGGTTTACCGATGATATCCAGGAAGCCAAGAGGCGAAGGCGTCGTGCGGAACGTCGTTCGATCAAGTCTGGACTTTTTGTTGATAGAGAGCTGTACCGCCGTGAATGCGAGTCATATTATGAGTGCATCTTCAATGCGAAGTCAGCGTATCTCAAAGATCTCATCAAGAATGCTGACACTAAAGAACTGTTTCGTCTTGTGAAGACACTCTCAACGCCCACTCAATCTTCACCTCTTCCAGATCATTCTTCTGATAGTGAACTCGCCAACAGATTTGCTACATTCTTCAGGGAAAAAGTCGCCAAAGTTGTATCCTCTTTCCCTAATGTAGTACCAGCACCAGCTTCAAGATCTTTTGCTCCAGGCCCTCGTCATGAACTCTCTGATTTCTGCCTTGTATCCCTCTCACAAGTCAGGAAGCTCATCACTTCACTTCCTTCTAAACACTGTAAGCTAGATCCGATTCCTACCTGGCTTCTAAAGGAAGTCCTCGATGAACTCCTTCCTCACATAACCAAACTGTTCAATCTCTCGTTATCATCCGGAATAGTTCCAGAGTCTTTTAAGACTTCTCTGCTTCTTCCCCTCCTAAAGAAGCCGAGTCTCGACACGAATGGACTTAAGAACTACAGGCCCATCGCAAACCTGCCATTCCTTGGGAAGGTTTTGGAACGTATTGTGTCACTACAGCTGAAAGCCCACATTGACAATCTCGCTTTGTTTCCAATCCACCAATCTGCCTATCGGAATCATCATTCTACTGAGACTGCAACTGTCAAGGTCCTAAATGACCTACTTCTAGCTGTAGATAAGGGTAATGAAGCTGTCCTCATCTTGCTTGATTACACTGCCGCATTTGACACTATCAACCACGACCTGTTACTCCATCGCTTAGAGAACGACTTCTCCATCACCGGCACCGTACTTCAATGGATTCGCTCCTATCTCATGCACCGAACTCAGAAGGTGATCATCAATGACACCAACTCGGAATCATTTCCCCTCATCTGCGGCGTTCCTCAGGGTTCCGTGGTCGGCCCCCTCCTGTTTATTCTTTACACCAGCCCTCTCTCAAATGTTATTAACCTTCATCAGAATATTCAACACACTATGTATGCAGACGACACCCAGATTTATGTAACTCTTCACCCAAACAGCAGGACAGTAGCCGCGAACAAACTCACCAGTTGCCTCAATGAAATCAAAACCTGGTCTTTTCAAAACTGTCTCTGCCTTAATGATTCAAAATCTGAAATGATTCATATTACTTCTAAATTTCGGAACTCAGACCCCTTTCCTGATCTTGTTATTAGTGATGGCTCTCTCAGTTGTTGTGCTTCTGTGCGTGACCTTGGTTTAAATATTGACAGCAATCTTACTTTCAAACAACACATTAGTAATATTTGTAAGTCTGCTTCCTTTGGTATATATAAGATCAGTAGAATCAGGAGGCTACTTGACCGACCCACAACTTCAAAATTAGTCCATGCTTTTGTCTCGACCCATATCGATTACTGTAATTCTTCTCTTTCTGGCCTCCCTCAGTCACATCTAGTCCCACTTCAAAGGGTACAGAATAGCGCTGCTCGGCTTGTGACTCTCTCGCGTAAATCAGAGCACATAACTCCAATATTGAACTCACTACATTGGCTTAAAATTCACCACCGCATATCCTTCAAAATTCTTCTCCTGTGCTACAAAGCTATCAATGGCTTAGCCCCCTCTTACCTTTCCGATCTCATATCCTTACGTTCCCGTACGTCGTCACGAACACTTCGTTCATCTTCCACATTACTGTTAACACCTGGACCCCGCACTAACACCCGGTATGGTGACCGCGCCTTTTCAGTTATTGCCCCCGCTCTCTGGAACAAACTGCCCGCCTTTATTCACTGCGCCCCCTCTGTATCTCAATTCAAATCTCTACTCAAAACCTATCTTTTCAAATTGTAAATTGCAGTTGTGCGTCGGTCAATGGAGGTGCGCACCATATTTGTCTTTATTTAGTTGATTGCCACTGTTTTTCTTACCTTATCTATGTTACTTTTGTATTTTTGCTTTTTCTTCTAATTTAATTCTACGGGTTATAGTCTTCTCTTAATCAGAACACTGTGCGCTTAGAAACATCAGTATTAAGCGCCTAATAAATGTTATGTATTATTATTATTATTATCTGATATGTCTGTCAGTGCCATGGTTCCTCTACCTCTAAAATGCAAATTTTGGACAGTATCTTTCATTGGGGGGTTTTTCACAAAGATCCTAAGTCAAACTTAACTTAAACATTAACTTAACTTTTATGGAGAGCCATTTTAACCTTAAAATGAAATATATTCAAAAGCAAAAATTTCTCCTTGATAATAGAAAATATGAAAGACTTGAATCAACATTTTATGCCTTTTAAGAAAACTTTTACAAAATATTTTAAAAGATGCTAATGGCTTTCCATAATTGTTAAGTCCAACTGAGACTTCAGTTGATCTTAGTCTTTGTGAAACACCCCCCCTGTACTCAACTTGATCTGTATTTAATGCTGGGGAAAATAATCTCAAATCAAGTTGTACCTATTTTAATACAGATATTGGTTGTATGGTGATGTGGTGCTGGACTCTGATGATGAGGCTGATGAGGACACCAAGAAGTCCAAGAAGCGTGTCCGAGGTTGGTTTCCTGCCAACTGCGCCAAGGAGTTGAAATTTGAGGAGGAGGAGGAGGAGGATGGAAGGAGCAACAGCCATGCAAACAACAAGGTCAAGTCCAAGGATGACTGAGGAAACGTCCCAGATGCAAAGAATCAACCTATAAAAAAAAAAATTATCCACAATATTTTAGACTAACAGTAGAGGAGTATGAAGAAAATAAATCAAGTTTTATGTTTCTTTATTTTCTTCATACCGGTACTCCTCAACTATTTTAGCCTAAAATATTGTGGATAATTTTTTTTTTTATAGGTTGATTCTATACACTCTAAGGTACACAATTTGTTTAAATATAGATGATTGGTACCATGGGTGTCGATCCTTACGTAATACCTATTCATCAGGGGGGATGAATGAATAGATCATCCCCCCCTGATGAATAGGTATCAGTTACAGATCAACACCCATGATTGGTACACACTTAGGGCATGTTCTGCAACTACTGAATGTGGTGAATTACTCAATCTACATTGTATCTGCTAGCTTTTGTACTAAAGCTATTAAAAGATGTAGTGATGGCAAAATAAAGGGAAAATTTCACCTTCTTAGTTTGGAAACGAAAGTATCACCTTTTATTTATGAAAGAATCTGAAGACCTTGATTTAAACTTTACTATACCATTGTTACCACCCCTATTTATTTTCACTGGCTCAAAGTAATGCTCGATTGTTTATCTTGCAATAGGTGTGCTGTATATATTTCAGTACCTTGTAAACTTACTAACAAGCGCAACACACATATGCACATAACGAGGTACAGTATCATTGTATGCATGTGGGCCTGAATAATTAGCTTAGTTTTTGTAACAGTCCTCAGCTGAAGCAATCGTCTAAGACACCTGGGGGGTGTTTCACAAAGATCCTAAGTTGGACTTAACATTTATGGAAAGCCGTTAGCCTCTATGAAAATATTTTGTAAAAGTTTGTTTTAAAAGGCATAAAATGTTGAATCAAATCATTCATATTTTCGAGAGTTCATGTTCTTGACAGGGAATTTATAAAAAGTCTAAATTACTTAAATTTTTGCTTTTGAATATATTTCATTATAAGGCTACAAATGGCTCTCCATAATATTTTAGTCCAACTTAGAGTTAAGTTCGACTTAGAATCTTTGTGAAACAACCCCCATGGTAACCCAAACTATAAAGTTTAGCAAGAACCCTGTATCAGACGATACTTGTTATTTCCTCGCAAGCAGTTGCCAACCCAACGTTGTGAATATGGGAACAATTAATTACTTATAATTCCCAAATTGTGTGATATATGGGTATAAAAATTCATAGATCTATTAAGTGTAAGAATGACTATCTAATCTATGTGCCAAGTTTCACGGCCCCCTCCCCATTCGTGTAATTTACAAATCTATTTTCTATATTTCTACTGTTGTGATGAAAACAGTTTATTTTTCCTGTTCAAAAATGTGATTGGCCTCAATTTAACTACACTATTGCAAATGTTGATGACCGTCTTCCATATTTATAAAAGTACATGTAGATTTTAAAAAATTAGAAGCAACTGTTGATATGAATTTTTGGTAGCACAGTTGCTTCATATACTTGTATGCTGTACATGTAATTTTGATCTCACTGTGAAATGTTTTAAAAATTACGGACATTGCAGTGCTGATGATAAGAATGCTTTTACATGAGAATTTATTTTTTCAATGTAATATGTATATATTTATTTGATACTTTCATAATATAAAATGTCGGTTTTTATGCTGGTTTATCTCTTTATGGTTCAAGGTATTCATGGTTAAAGAGAACAGTGTGTTTTACAGATGTGTATCAAATAGTTAAAGCAGAAAAAATGTGTCATTGAGATGATCTCAGTGAAAGCAGAAACTAACAGAACAGGGGAGTGTTTCACAAAGACTAAGATCAACTTTAAGTTGGACTTAACTTTGGCAGACCGTTCATGCCACTGTTTGCTCTCACCATTTACTGGCATAGGTCTCTCAAGGGACGTACAAATCATGGTCACAAATCAACAGAATATACATTCGTTGATAATTCATTATTGAAGGAAAAAATAATATCTAAAGGTCATAATTTAGAAACCAATGGTGAAAGCAACTAGTGGCACGAAAGGCCTGCTATATTTAAGTCCAACTTAAAGTCAATCTTGGTCTTTGTGAAACACTCCCCAGAATGGTGAATGTATGAGGTAAGTCATGCAAAGAATGGAAAAAGATATGAGATTATGACAGTATGGATCACAAAAGATATTGATAACTTCTCATCGGCTACTTATTCATTTATTTATTGTAAAGGGGTTGTGGTCTAGTGGACACATGGAAAGCCTGTTAAGGGTACAGATTTTTTATTTTCAAATATTGGCAGGTATAGCAATTCCTAATTCTTATTTCCAAATGTTGGTAGGTATGCCAGACTCAAGATCACAAGATACAGATACAGTTGTCTTTCATGTTTCACTTTTACTTGTCTTTGATGTAAATAAAATGTAGAAGTAAAACCCACAAAATGTATTGCAAAGTTTAGAAAGATATTATTAATGAAATGGCAGTTTAAAATAATTATTTCTGTAAGATTTAAAAAATGATGCATAATTGAGTAATGATCAGCTTAATTGTATACCAATCATGCTGCTCACAATGAAAGCCATTTAATGTTGCTCATGCATGGGTACCATAGAGGGCAGCACACAGATGTACGTACAGGAGCGAACCCGTTGGCTCAGTGTTATGTAGTGATCGCCAAGTTGCCTACTTCACGAACGACTATATACCCACGCATGGACATCTTTAACATGTTTTTTTCTTATTGAATCAATGATTGCCTTAGATTGTAGTTATGTGTGATTGCATTTACTTGATAAAGTGAAGGGATGTTGTTTTATAAATTGAATAAGCAATCTGTCTTTGTATAGCCTATATAATAGGAAGTCATTCTTATCCATCTGGGGAGCAAAAGAAAAAAAATATGAAAAAGTAGAAGAAAAAAATCCTAAAAGATGTTGAAATTGTAATTATTCCTAATTTCACAGTGAAAACAGCTACCGCATAGATAAGTTCTATACATGTAGGTTTGCATGGTGGAACAGCTAGAAATATATAAAAGTTTACAGAAGCGCCATGTAGGTACATGTACCGGTAGTCCTTAAAAGGACTCTTGTAATTCTTTTAGTAAGAATTTCGATAAGTGTTACAGTTGTTATTATCATGCTGTTCTAAACAGATCTATTACCAGTACTCACATTAGCAGATTGAAATTTAATCATATTCAATGTTTTTGACTTATTTTCTGGTGCCTCAATATATTAATAACTCATTTAGGACCAAGTCTTCTCTATGTAGCTTAAACACATGTATCTTATTTCCTGTAACACGCTAAAGGAATCACAATCTTTTTTTAAGGGCTATGGACATAGTGCGTCCATCAACTTTTATTTTTTTCAGCTACAGCTTGTTATGATGTTGCGATTGCTGTTTTGTTCAATTTGGCACAATTAAAATTTTGTCAAAAAAGTTGATGTACTGTTCTTTTTAAGAAAATTTTCTATGGATCTAGTACTCTGATTTGCAGAGTGAAATATGATCGTATTTAATGTTTCGACTCGTTTTCAGGTGGCTAAATATCTCATAACTTCTTTTGTGTAATTCTAAATATATCTTATTTCACAGAGAAACACTCGTTGTGTGCCGGGCATTGAATGTAGAATTTCCATTGTAAAATGGGATTCGCACCATTAACCTTGGTTTTTTCTCAGTTTGGGAAATGTATTTATTCTTTTCCGCACTAGAGCTCACAAACTCTGATAATGTGTATCCATTGAAATTCTGAAATAAAAGATGGTTATACCCATTTGTTCATGATGTACTTGTACATAAATCAAACCATTATTTTCAGTGTAGAACATATTATGGTGAAAGGGAATTGAAGAAAAATTGCAAATACAATTGTTAAAATATAAGCTTTATTAAATGCAATTTTGTTTAATAATGTCATGTGTCTTGGGATTCATCACTTGGGCATGAAGAAGAGGTAATGAGGAACAGAATACAGAAAAGGTGGTGAATTTTAGAGAAGTTCAAGACCAGAAAGATATAGAGAGGAAGAGAGATGGATGTGAAAAGAAAATGAGAAAGGGCAAGAGAGAGAGAAAGATATATATATATATATATATATATATAAATATATATGTGGTAATGTTTTATACATGATTGTGTACTCATTTGAATATTTTTTCTTTTACTGGTAGGTTAGTTGACTTCCCAACTAATTGAAAAAGATATTCAAATCCATATTTATTCATTTTCAAGTTCTTTTTTAATATTTCTTTAATCATGCTACAGTAAACCTTACATCATAAAGTGGCATAAATTAATTCTCGATTAATTTCGTTCACCAACTAACAGAAGACCTAGTTTCTACTCTACAATGTCCTTATATTTGTTTTTATGGTGGTAATTACACTGAATCAGAAACAGTATTTGGTCATTAAATGAAAATAAGAAATCAGTTTCACAGTGAGAAGTTTTTGTACATTTATTTTCATCTAGTGCAAGATTCATAGTGCTTTGTATAGGCTGATGATTGTTTTATTCTTCCTTGCTTTATCTTGCTATTTTACATGTATTAGGATATATGTGTTCCCGGGTGAAGTGGAGGTCTACTCTTTTGTACCTATATCGATGCTCCCTCTCTTTCTTTCTCCTTTAGTCATCCTGAGCCATCTCTCCTTCTCTTTCTCTCCCCTTTCCCTTTGGACCCTTACCAACTCTCCTTCTATCAGTCCTTCAAGCTCTCTTTCTCTCTCTGCACATATTTCGATTGTGATGCTGCTCCAATTCTAGTTGCATATTTACATGTATTTATTCATGATGTGATTCAAAATTTTATTTCAAATTCTTGTTATGTACGAGTCATATAATTGTTGTGTTGTGTGCTGAGAACCGGAGGACTGTACCTGCTCATAGACTTTCTTTATAGAGTCTTGACGCCCTTCTGGCTTTCAGCACACAGCACCATGGTTTTGTCTTATGTTTCACATATTACATGTTACACCAATGGAAAACAAATTTCTGTATTATATATGGATAATAAAATCTTGAATCTTGATGAGGTTTACATTTTGCTCTCCATCAATAAGTGACCTACCTGGTAAGCTACGGGCCTAACTCTATGCATTTAGGCAGGCTTTAAAATAAATCTGGCTAAGGAACTTTTGAGCATAATTTCTGAGAGCACATAGCTGGGATACGTAATCATGAAATCTGAACAACCTCCCTTATTTTGATCCTCAAAAGCTAATTTGTTTCATATTGCTCTAAACTACGACT